AGGCTCCGCCACCGGCCCAGGTACTGGCCCACGTCCTCGGCTGCTCGGAAGGCCTCCCCGAGGGCCAGCTGCTCCCGGCGCTGCTCCTTGTGCTGGCGGGAATTCAGGGGGAGGACAGGGGACATGCTCAGCCCACAGAGCCCTCTGGGCAAGCACCGCGGGGATTTGCTAAGGAAGCGGAGCATGAAGCCTTTGTCTCCACAAGCTCACGTGTAGAAAACTGTCCGGAAGGAAACACCCCAAACACAGTGGAGGCTTCATTTGTCCCACGTGCATCAAACCCTTGTCTTTGGGCTTGGTGACGCCCAGGAGGCAGACCGGTCCCGATCCTGCTTCTCCACTGGCAGGCGGGGTGGCGGGACCAGCGTCTCATCCTCGCCGGGACCCGTTTCCTCGCCTGTAAAGCGGGGATTACAGCGTCCCCTCGCAGAGTGGTTGTGAGGACTCAGTGAGTTGCTTAACACACACAAACTGAATCCGGGGGACAAAAGGCATTTGCTGGGCCCAAGGCCAAGAGGAACAGGCAGGCAGGGGGGAAGTATCTTATTTAAGGTGAAGCACTCAGACAGCAGGGACCTGAGAACGTGTGAGCTGGGGTGTGTGGAGGGATGAGGGCAGGGCAGGGGGCTGTGCCCAGAACTGAGGGCATACTGTGCCAGGACACTATGGGGTGTGGCAAGGTGGCTCGTCTGCATCCTAGGACAGTTGGATACAGTGAAGGGTTTTATGAACTCACTAGAGGCCCGGTGCACGAATTTGTGCACCAGTGGGGTCCCTCAGCCTGGCCTGCGGGATCGGGCCAAAACCGGCTCTCTGACATTCCCCAAGTGGTCCCAGATTGTGAGAAGGTGCAGGAAAGGCAGAGGGACCTCACCGGGTAGGGACATGGGAGGTTGGCCAGCTGAGGAAGGACCGTGGGAAGGCTCCAGGGCATGTCCGGCCCGTCTCACTCAGTCCCAATCAGCCAGACCCCAGCAGCAGGCTAACCTTCCGGTTGGAGTATCTGCCCCTGGTGGTCAGTGCACATCACAACAACCGGTCAACCAGTTGACTGCCCTTTGTGGTCATTGCACGTCATAGCGACTGGTCAACTGTCTGCCCCCTGGTGGTCAGTGCACGTCATAACAAGCGGTTGAGCCACCTTAGCATATTATTAGCAGGTGTCGGCTATGGTGGGTGCATGTCTGCTGTGTGTGTGTGTGTGTGTCTCCCTCATACCGATATTTCTCTCACTCTCTCTCTCTCCCTTCTTCCTTCCACTCTCTCTAAAAATCAATGGAAAAAATAACCTTGGGCAAGGATTAATAAAAACACAAGAAAATATGCGAAATAGTTCAGACAACCCCTGTGAGTGCGGGAACTCTACTACTCATTTTCAGATGAGGAAACTGAGGCTCAGACGACTGGACACTTAGCATATTAGGCTTTTATTATATAGGATGCTCGGTAAAGCCTTCCTCTGCAGAGAGTAACTCTGTGCTACTGGAGCGCACCGCGCAGTTACATGGTTTTCGGCAGGTGCTCAGAATGGTTGCACGAAGAATAAGTGGCAGAATTCCTTACGTACCTTTTGCAGCATCTCTCGTCTTCTCTTAACTATTAATTTTTGGTGGAGCTTTTTCTTTTCCTGCTTTAGGTCATTGTCCAACTTCTGTTTAATGGAGAAGACTTCCGTCTGAGCCCGCTCCATCAGCTCCTCCGTCTGCTCTTCATCCAGGTACCCTGCTCTAGACGAAGGAGACGCGGGGTTAACGCCACCTCCACATTCTTACTTTGGGTTGAATAAGAGTCTTTACCCTGAAGGAGCAGGAGGTGGGTGGGGAGACAGTCCTGAGATACAGGAAGGGCAAGGTCGGCATCACCGCGGACCACGGCGGAACTCAACACCAGGAGAGATCACCCGGGAGGCAGAAACTGGGCTAGACCCCAGGGAAGAAAGTAACAGTCTGCCTGTATAAGGCAGGATCTCCAAGGAGATGGTGGGCTAGGAAGTCCTGGTGACAAGCAGGGCACCAGCAAAGTCTAAGAGGTAAGCGTAGGAGTACTCAGTGAGGGTAATTCTATGAGTCACCTTGACGGGCCACCGTGCTGGTTATACATGGATTCTGGGGGTGTCTGTGAGGCTGTTTCCGGATGAGATTACTCCCCACGCACAGCTGTGTGAGCCCCACCACCCATTTCCCAGTGAAATGTCGGGATTTGCTTTAAAATAACCCCGGGTGGAGCTGTAGAGCTCCGTTGGCCATGAGTTGGCACCTGATGAAGTTATGATGAGCATTTGGGTTGTCTGAACTATTTCGCATATTTTCTTGTGTTTTTATTAATCCTTGCCCAAGGTTATTTTTTCCATTGATTTTTAGAGAGAGTGGAAGGAAGAAGGGAGAGAGAGAGAGTGAGAGAAACATCAGTATGAGGGAGACACATCGATTGGCTGCCTCCTGCATGAGCCCCATGGGGGGCCAGAGATCAAACCAGCAACCTAGATACATGCCCTGCATCAGGAATCGAACCCAAGACCCGTCAGTGCACGGGCCGACGCTCTAACCACTTAGCAACACCGGCCCGGGCTATTATGCATGTTTTTAAATTCTACAATGAACCGGAGTCTTACAATCGGAGAATTTTCTTAAGACAGAAGCAAGGAGCGGACAGTGCCTTCGGCGAATGAACAGAAGCAGCGGCCTCGGGTGAGGAATGCGGGGCAAGGCGGCTCGTCTGCTTCACTGGGACCCTCCGGGGGTTACCTCTCGTGTTTCTGGATGAGGAGGGTCAGCTGGGCAGCAGCAGCGCTCAGCAGGCCCTGCACGCGGGTCTCCGCCGACTGCATGGTCTGCACCAGGTACTCCCTGTGGCCGAACCTCTTACTCAGGTGGCACCTCTTACTGGCCTGGAAGAAGTCCATCAGCTCTTCCACTTCCTCCTGCTCGAAAAGGAAACCAAGAGCATTTGCCTGATTAAAATGTAGAGGAAATGCTTTCTAGACGCTTACAATATTCCATTTCCCGTTAAAGAAAATATACAGGAGCAGGGCCCTGAGGTAAACCGTAACCCTCTCTGCCCTTAACCAAGGCTTAGAAGGAAACGAAAGACGACGAAGAAATGAGGACTTTGAAAAGTGCCCTGGACCCCGATGTGACGAGTCATCAAACATCCTGGCCGCCCTGAACTTGACTCCACCTGTGATTCACCTTCCCCACGCACACTACACACCTGAGGCGCTCCCAAAGCTGCACCGGGACAGGTGTGCAGCGCCGGAGCAGTCAGCCACCGGCCCGACCCCGAGGCCCCACACTCACGGCGATGAGATGAGCTCAGTAAAAAGCGCAGCAAGAACTCTTCCTCAGTCCACGAAATGAACAAACCCCAGCAAACACAAAGGCGTGTCATAACCTCGCTTATGCTGGTGTCCTCCCTGGGCCCAGGGCATTTCTCACCCTATCTACCTTCACCTTGGGAGAGAACACCATAATTCCCATTTCACAGATGAGGAGACTGAGGCCCCATGGCACAGCTGGCAGATGTCTGAGCAGGGGTGTGAACTCAGCAATGTAACTCCGGGCCTGTGCTCTGACTTCAGGGCGGGCTGCCCCCAAATGCAGCGTTAGCCCCCGGCATAGTCATCCAATCAGTGGGAACTAAGCCCTTAGCCTCAGTGGCGGCAGGGCACTGATCAGCTCGGATGGCTTTTCCATCCGGGGAAACGTGGTCCACGCAACGGGCACCGAAAACATCAATGCTGTGTTCATCAAGATACACCTGGTGCCACGGGCAGTCCCCTCTCCACACAAAAGCTGTAATGTCGCCAGTTCCCGCCACCTGAGAATTCGCACTGTCCTGACAGCGGAAGCTGAATGGTCATCCGACACAGCCCCATACCAGCATCTCCCCGAGAGATCCTGGCCACAGAATCCATGGTCCTGTTCCCCATGGAACTGGACCCACGTGAGCTGTTGATGGGGCCACCAGGTAAGGAAACTCATTGTTACTCTAGCAGCTCCGGTCAAAGTCTACGCCGTGGCACCTGACCGCCACGGTGGTTACTTCTTTGACCCCAGTGTGACTGACAGTAACGTGTGTCCTTCCTAGCGCGACTGTCCCAGCCCTAACTCAGCCTCGGCTCCATGAGCAGGAAAAGGACCGCAAGACCTGTCACCATCCAGGTGATGCCAAGCGTCCAAACACCTAGTGAGGAGGGGGATGGAATTCCTCCTTTCTCCCTCTCACTGACCTTCTGGTGAGAAAACCTAGAGCAAATGGAGAGGCTGGTAGTTCTCCTCCAGTCCCAGTGCCTGCTGGGAGTGGCCTTGTCTTCCCACAGGCTCAGGGTGGTCACCGGTCTCCTCCCAGCGCTGTCCCGCACCGTCGCAGCCTCACGCACTGGGCCTCGCCAGGACCAGAGCCTGGTGTGCGCCTGCACACGGTGACTGCCCTGGGCGTGTGGGTGCGTGTGCGTGTGTACATGTGCTTGTCAAGTACCTCCTGCCGGCCTCATGAGCAATCCCACAGCCATGTCCAGTCTCAGATAAACTACCTTCATGCTCGTCTGGAAATGTATTCTGTCTGCACCAATGACATTCACACTCAAGCTGATGTGCAAAAAGTGACACAGATTCTCCCAGGCACATCTGGACACAGGTTGCAAACCCCACACGCACCGCGTTTTGCACACATACACTCGTGTTATCTTAAACGCTGTGCGTGCATGGCTTTCCCGAGTCAGCTCACCAAGCCCCTGCCTCTCCCCTGTGAGTGTGGGAACTCTATTACCCATTTGCAGATGAGGAAACCGAGGCTCAAAGAAGCTGGGCAACTTACTTAAATTGACACAGGCCAGGGGGTGGGAGGGGGGGGAGGGGAGGACTGGAATTCACATTCGGGTCAGCCTGAGTCCTAGGCCTGTCTCCAGGCCCCCACTTTCCGTGCTTTCCGGAAACTCACGCAGATGTTAGGAGTCAGGGGGGCGGAGGGGAGGCAGGAGAGGGCCTTAGCTCCTTATCCACAGCAGGAAAGAGGCATGGTCTCAGCTCAGAGAGGAGACATTCACCAGGCGGTTCAGGAAATGGCTCCCCGCAGAGCGAGCCTGCCCGAGGCCTTACCTGTATTCTGGAGTAATCTTGCAGCAGCATTTTGGCGGCCTCTGGCTGCAGGTCTCCTTTGAAAATAGCACTTTTGATCTGGGCGAAGAAGATACTGTGCAGCTCGCTCCTCTGGAAGACGGCCAGCTGCCTGTGCGCCTTGGCGAAGTCCTCCTCCTGCTGCAGAGCCAGGGAGCGCCGCAGCTGCTCCTGCTCCAGGCCGTGCAGGGTCCGCAGGAGGCTGCTGCACTCGCCCGCCGACTGCGGAGAGGAGGTCACGTGAGAGGCTGACCGGCCAGACAGGCACGCACAGGCAAGTGCACACACACACACATGCTTACACATGCACACACAGCAGACATGCATGCACGCAGCCACCCACCATGCACTCTCACATGGACACACGTGTGCACAGGGCACGCGCACACTATGTCCCACGCTGACCATGATGAGACTGCTGAGCTGGGGCTATGCTGTTGCAAACTCCCCATGACCCTAATGTTTCTCAGAGCCACCTCAGAGGAGAGCGTGCACAGGGCGGGAACCTGCAGCTCACATGCCTGAGAGCAGCTGCAACACGGAAGCTCCAAGGACTGCTGCCGGGCACTCAGGCCTGTCGCCTTGTCTTTCCTTCTAACTCAGGCGGAGAGCAAAGCGCCAGCAGTCAGGCCCACACACAGCTCACCTGGTGAAAAAGGCGGCAAAGAGGAGGGACGACATGGCCAGGTGATGCCTGCACATTACGTGGGCCGCGCGAGGAGAGGAAGGAGACACGTGGCTGAGTCCTGAGGACTCGCACCCGCGGAGGGGTGCTCTCCATCCCTCGGGGAGAGACGGACTCTAAGGCAGCCCGCCAGACTCCCGCCCCGTGAGGAGTGGAGTGTCCTGGAGACGTAAATCTCCGCCCGGGTGCGCATCAACTCTGAATGTGATGGGACTGTCACTCCTGAGACCAGGTGATTATGTGGCAAAGCAGCGGGGCCTTCATGATGGACGTACAGTCCCGAACCCGTGACTCTGAGTAACCAGGAAGGGGAGTATCCTGCTGGGCTGACCTAACCAGGGAGAGTCCTGAGAAGAGGGACGGGCGCTCCTCGAGGGACAGACTCCCTCCCATGGGCCTTGAGGGTGACAGCAGTCCTGCTGTGAGCTCCTGTGGGGGAGGGACGCCTGCAGGGGCTGAGGGTCTCCCTTCTGCAAGTGCAAGGACGTGGATTCTGCCAGCAACCGGATGGAGTGGGACCAGTGGCCTGAGCTCCAGGGAGAAGGCAGCCCAATCAGGACCTGGATTGCAAGGTGGGGGTGGGGCCTGAGCCTCGCTTCACAGGAGCATGCCGGGAGCCAGTCCATCCTTGCTGTTTCAAGGGGCCTGGCATTTATGGCATACTGTTCTTAATATGTTTGCTCACCTTCTTGGCACTATGTGTTTTAACCAAGGTCACCTCTCCGAGAAAGGTTGTTTCCCCAGGTAGGGATTTTCCCCTGAAGTTAGGAAGGGAATAAAACCCTTTAACTAAGTGCCAGGCGGGTAGTTAATCACTTTAACTACGAACAATCATGCTTAAACTACATAATCTTTACTCCCTGGAATG